GTGGCCTCGAGAGTCTGGCACTGTGACTTAACATAGCTGTTCATGACAGCGTTCTCACTGTCTTCCATCACACGGCACCGTGTATTAGTTTCTTAACTAGACAGATCTGAGGAAGCAGTACAAGAAACCCTGTGGCCCTGAGGTAAGAAGCTTGTGACCTTCCCATACAAACCCAGAATATAGTACTGAGGCCAGGAGAAAGGCTGGAAAGGTTACTGCAGAAGAGGAAAGGCTATGTAAGTGTTACACCTGGAGAGACCTAAACACCTTTTGTGTCACCAGTGTCTGTGGTTCTGCTCCAAGAAAAGGATTTCTAATGGATACAATGGCAGAGGACACCTGGCTTAGAGCAGAGGAGCTGCTGTTAAGCATCCCCTTTACTTAAATCTTCCAGCTCTGACTGTAAAAAAAATTCCCTTTAGCCAAAAATTTATCAGGAGGATTGTCAATGTTATATCAGAGAATTATCAAGCATTTAAAAAAATGGAAAAACAACAGTTGCCATGCATTGGCTTTACATACATCAATTGTTTTAAAATAGCAGTTACATTGAAAGAAGAATCTCCTTTATTTTTCTTGCTTGAAGTAATAAAGGAAAAATTCAAAGCCTGCCAAATGCTTATACTTGCGAGCAACTTTAATCCTGTGAGTAGTTCTACTGAAGAAAACAGAACTACTCATGGCAGTAAGTACCTGTCACTCTTCCAGCACTAAGTGACAGACACAGAATACATTTAAGGAAGTGTTATCCTGCACAGGAATCAGATGACATCTCACGCACCTAGCACACTTTTTAAGTGGGAGCAAAGAGCTACTCAACACACAAGAGTAATCACACAGAAATCAGCAGAGATATCTTCCTTGTCTGTGGTTATTTGTGCAGCAAGAATCATCATTGGTATGACTAAGAACAACAGGTAAAAAAATCTTGAGGCAGAAACTTGCCCCTTAAGACAGATCAAAAATGGAATATTTATAAGTGTTACCTACATTTTTCAGTCTTAAAATGACCAGGCAAAACTGATTTTGAAAATAAGTCTTGATTCCTCTTCCACAACCTTACGCAGACATTTCAGCAACTATTTGCTACTTGACAGTACATGGCTTGCACCATATGGTCTTACCACAGAAATAAGCTTGAGGCTTTGGCTCTGCAGTTAGATGTATGTAGAGATGTCAAGGATAAAGTCTGAAGAACTGAATTGCCTTCGAATAGAACCAAATGGCTTAAGGCATACCACAGCTCAAGTTTATTTAAGGGCTTGAAATTTATTGGGAAATGTAAGTGTTTGCTTTCAAAATACTTCTGAATGTTCCTTATTCAGGTTTCCCCAAAGACAGAAAACAATCTCATGCTTTGATACAACAGACTTTTTTTTTTTTTAAATCTGTGTATTTGTGCACAACTGTCAACTGTAGCCCAATTCAATGGGTGCCAGAACAGACATCCCACTACAAAATCCAACTGGAGTTTGTAAAAATGCTGCTCTGTCAATGGGGGAGGCAAAGGTTTGGCTTTGGGTAACTGATACCATCAATTTTCTTCTGCAATAGCTTCCTCCTAGGTCCTGATTCATATGACTCCTTTGAAATGACATTTCCAGCCTTGTTGTGTTACTCTGTACAGCGGACCATTTACAGGAGAGAAAAATCTGCTTCATTCAAAGTTGCTTTCCAGATGTGAAGGATCAACTCCCCCTATTAGCCTACGCGGTTCAAAGAACAAAAGCAAGACTTCTATTTATCAATGAAAAATAAACTTTAGTGAAAAAAATCACATCTTCCTTGGTGTGGTTAGTGCCATAAAACTCAATTAAGACAACAGGGTTCTCAGAATCAGGAAATCTTTGCATCCTTCTGACAGATTCTGATTTGAATTCAGAGTGTGGCTTCATACAGGAAAATTACACTTGCAGTTTTCTTTGTAAACATTCTCAGCTCTGTTGTAATAACTGTGGTAATGTGGATTGAATGCAGAAAATAATTTTATAATTTGTTCACCCAGCTGCTAAAACACCAAATGATCTACATGACATATGCACACGCTGGAGTTGCTTCATTTGTTATAATGTATAATTTCTCAAGAAGAACAGCTTTAATTGATCTGCACTGCTGAATCCCAAAAATGCAATCTGCTTTGTCCTTATTTAAGAAGTACATCTTAGGTTACACATGTGAATTATTCGTAAATATGACTGACTGTCTTTTTTTATTTTTAGCACATCATTTGGGCTGTGTCTTGTGGCGAGCTTATGCTTCGGTGATGTACAATACTAAAGTCACTAAAATGGCATCTGAAACTTTTTTCATGAGCATAAGCCAAAGTCAATATCCTCCCAGTTAAATAACGCATTTCATAATTATAGCAAATATTTAATTTTCAAACAAATATCCTTTTGCTCTCAGAATCAACAGCAGCAGTTAACATGATGGTTCACAATTAATAAGGACCCAGGAGAAAACCTCACATAATCGGTACTTTTCATCTACATATTTATGAAATTTCATCAATTATTCATGTAATATTTACTACTGGGAGTGGTGAATATGACAATCACCCCTGCTGGAGAACCAGTCAGTTCTGTCTAAAATGTTGCAAGCAGCATAATTCAATTCTAAAACTGTTATACAGAGATTAAGGGACATTTTTAGGACCTGAATGTTCTGCATGAAATTATTGTTTTCAATTAACTGAACGACAATTTTCCTAATTGATCAACCCCCACACTCTTCTTTAGAAGCCTAGACTTACAGCCACAGTGTGAATCACCCTGCGACTCCCAAGAGATAGCAAATCTTACTGAAACCTCTCTCTGATGCAGTAGTTACCTAGCAGCAAAACCTAGCAACCCTGTATTATGAGATTAATCCCAGAGTGATCATCATAAAGTAATATCTAAAAGACATTTTATTTAAGTATGCCATCCAAAGGTATATAAAAATGCAACGCAAAAATGCTCAGGCTTCTACCTGTTCAGCTGTACAAATTAGGAGAGACTACCCACAGCACAAGCTATTCATTTGTTGTTCAGCAAGGTCTCATTTGCTCAGCTCTCCCAACAAAGACAGAAAGAACGCAGATCTACAAACAGATGTGCAAAACATTTAGATATGACTAAGACATTCAAAGCCCTTCCTTACCTACAATTTGATGTGCAAGCAATGAAATCCCTTAGTCCCTACAGCTAGCGGGTAAGCACAAATTCCTCAGGCATAGGTTCTGCCCAGTTGCTTGGAACCAAAGTCCTAGCAGGGTACTCAAACTAAACATTTTCTCCCCTTTCTCTTCTACAATGTAGCGAGCATTTTCAGATCACCTTAGTGTGACCAGGACACACATGGAAGACAGCCAGACATAAGTCCTTGTCCTGAGCTGTCCATCTGCATCTTACCCAGCCATACAGTGTGCACAACCCTCACCTGAGAGGAAGGGGATTACTCTCAAGGACTGGTACTATGGTGCCAGGAGGAGAAAGAGAGAGCATTAGTCCAGAATATCGCATTTTCCCCGAGGGATGGGATGTCCTTGCTCCAAATCAGTGAACAGAAAAACTGGAACGAGGTTGCCTACCTCCTTAGTAAATCCCTGCCACACCCTATAACATCATAGAATAGAATAGAATCATAGAATCGCTTTGGTTGGAAAAGACCTTTGAGATCATCGAGTCCAACCTTTAACCTAACCCTGCCATCCCACCACTAAACCATGTCCCTTAGCTCTCCAGGGTGCCTCCCCACACAGCTTACTGGGAAGCTGCATGCTTCACAGTATGGCTGAAGACTCCACCACCTGACCTGCACTTAAAACTTTTGTCCTGGCAACACTCTGCAAAGTTCTTTTGCAAGTGTAGCCCAAAGCACCTAACCCCTCCTTGAGCCTTCACTTTGTTTAGCACGCTCTGATTCCACGGAGAACTGCATATACACTTCTGAGATAGGCTTGGGCCTTGGCAACTTTTAGAACCACTGGTCAGGCACAGCTCCTGCGTTTTATTCTTCAAATTACAGAAGTAGAATCTTTGGGTGTGCCCTGAAACTCCTATCATGCAAACAGAGATTAGAAGCGTGCAATATAAAGACAATCCACGCCTTTACTGAAACTCTATTTATTTTCCCTCATACTAACCGTTAGGCTTTCCAGATGTATTTGCACTTGCGCACTGAACAGTGAGGCTGCCTACTGTTTAAAAATGCTCTGGCATCCTTGGTAAGATGCCAAATTAACAGCACTGAAAAGCTGTAGCCTTCCTTTGTTAAGAGAATAGGTAGCAAAGCGTGAGCTGAAGTGCCAACTTCCCTGCTTTGCTTTACTTAGAGAGCAAGAAAACCCATCCTCTGGTGAGAAGTGGGAAAGGTAATTCAATCCTTGCACCAGTTAAGCTCTCAGCTTTCCTCTGGGACTAGTAAAGGGAATAATAGGGGTGTGGACACTAAAGAGTGAGATTCTTGATGAACTGCCACCTGCCAGTAAGAGTCACCACCAAGCTGTAAGATACAATTGGACCAGGAAAACCAGCAAAAAGCTCTGGTACACATCCCTGAGCTGCCAAGTCATATATTCAACTTTAAAAAAATACATAATGGACCATGACAGTACTTTTAAGAGAATGGTTTGGCCACAGTGAAAAATAGTAAGCCAAAAAGAAAACAAACAGTCTTGTGGTTCCTGTCCTTCAGCACTAATAGGAGCTTTATCCACACCATGAGACCTACCTGCGTGCAGCCCAGCCACGGTCTGAGACCCACACGCTGACAGAAGCACTTTCTGAATTCATCTGCCAGTGAGGGATTACAAGCAAAAACGCTGCAAGATTTGCTTTTGCTTCTAATTGCTAAACACTGAACTGTTACAACATTGTATTTATTTTTCTCCTGTCCAGCCTATACCCACAACAGCCACTCTGTTAGTTACAGCCAGTTTTGACTACTATCAGCAATTGATTTTAAACACTTCTGTGAGCACAACTGAGTCATTAACATCTTCAGGTAGCATTGCTTACCTTAAATCTTTCTGAAACCCCTTCAGTGATGCTGATTGTGAACTCAGCTATTTTAGGAGTACGGAACTTTCCCTTCTTGCGATCAGGTTCATATTCTGTTTTTGTTTTGACCACAACCTTAACAAAAAAAAAAAAAAAAATACCAAAAAGCTGTCAGCTGAAACTAGTCACAAGAATCATATTTAGTCATTAACTCTTCTTTTACCTGCTTGCAAGCGCATCTAACACAATGGGGGGTTTACCCCCACTTTGTGTAATTCTTCTTTGGAAGCTGTTAGTTATTTTTCCTGTCATAACAATCATCAACATTTTCTCTCGAAGTGGTTTTGATGGACCTACAGGAAGACTCGTTATGCAACAATTTCACAAATGTTCATTTTTTTCAGCTGTGGTGGTACTGTGCTGCTATACTGGGCAAGCCTCTACTTAGTTCAAATCCAAATCGTGAAGCTTCTCACTCTGTATAGTTTGAAAATAGCCACCTGCATTTGCTTCAGGAGATCCCATTAATGAGATTTCAAACTGGAGACCAATAGGATGAAACGAGTATTGAAGACTGCCCATAGAAATCTGGCAGATGATGATGCCACCAGTAGCCGTGTTGTTCAGTGGCAGGATTTTGAGTTTAAGAGAAGTGAAATGACCCATCTAGTTACTATTCACTATGTGCTAGACTATAGCTCTTGGCACTCTTATTTTTAACATTCAACTTTTGAATTATCAGCTGCAAGCAGCAAGATGCACACAAATCCTTGTGTTAATGGGATTTCTTGAAACACCCAAGGCTCTTTCACTTCCTTGCTCAGAGCTACTGCCCCAAGCTACACAATTTAGCACCTTACCTGTATTCCTAAAATATTCATTACGTCAGTCATATCTCTAGCACTCTCCTAGGCATTATAATTGTACAAAACTTTCACATACCTAACCTATTTGCCTCATTTTTGTCTCCTACAATTTTTCAGGATCTTTTTCAAAGTATCACTCTCACGGTAGGGTGCAGTTTACTGTACTGAGGGCACTAGTAAGATTTGCTCAATTTTCTCTGTTGTTCCAAAGAATATCTAGGCCCTTTTAGATTTTTAGAACCAGATTCTATCTTTAGAGCAGCCCATGTTAGCAATAGCAACTACATTATTCTGAAATTAGGACTGTGACATTCACAGGTAGCCAGATACCGAAATTAAAGCTTTGGGTTCCCCTCTCCTCAATTCCCTGAAATGGTACCTAGAATGTGTAACTGTACCTAGACACAGTACCACAAAGCTTATTAGATGCTTTTACAGTACTATATACATATGTGCAGGACATCGGCAGTTTCTAAACCTATTTCAGCTATAATTAATAAGGTAACACTTATAACTATGTAACAGCATCATGGAAGTAAACCCTCTGAAGATTTTTGGAACGGTTTTTAACATTTTACCTCCTTTCCTCCCCCTTTATGTTGCATAATCTCAGGCAACTCAAATCACATTCAGCTGACACTGAACGTACAGTTCTATCTGCTTGGTTATGTAATGTCTTCTTTTGTTTAACATACCTAAATGTGAATTTAAATCAGTTCATCCCTTTAATTTAGAAGCTGTCAAAATCATCAAATTCTCATTGCTGTAGTCACTACTGTTCAAGAAGTTATGCTTCACTGCCATAGTGGAGCCTTGTAAGTGAATAATAAGCATAGATATATGAAGTATGTACTCCTATTCATTAAACATGAGTGTCTTCGTACTTCAGAATTTGATCTGTGTGTCAATCTTGACTTAATGCTGTTTCTTTTTTTCACATCAGTTGCTCTACTACTGCCTTGGAGTCTGTAGCAACCAGTAAAGACAGAGTGACATGACTAACCAGACAGTTACAGAAGGAAACCAGCAGGACCAATAAATACATGTTTTTATTTTTTCCCCTCTATGTTTGCAAAAGGAAAGGAACAGAAAGCTAATATGCAAACAGACAGTGGAAAGAATAGAAGAGCCCATCAAACATCCCTTTATTTAAGCTTCTAGCTGTACATTTGCTTTCGTTCAAGGGAAACGCTGTGAAGGCAGGAGGCGTTCCGCCCCATTCTAGTAGGAGCAATCAGGCTGGCACAGAGCCTCCTGGGTTCACTACAGAGGCTCTGCTCAGGTTAAACCTATCACCCATACAGATCCATAGTTCAGACTTCTGCTTAGCAGTGCAGTAACATAACAAATTCCTTTGGATGTTGGTCCTTGGTAATCGGTTATATCCAGTCACCAGTTGGCAGGTGTATCAGACACAGTACGACTTAACTTGTTTTAAAGCCTTAGGGTGCGATTTTGTCCTCAGTTACAAGATTTACACCCCTGTAACCGAGGGCAGAAAATGGACCCTCAGGCTCTCTAACAGCTGTTACAGCTTATTGCATTTATGCCTGCCAACTGGTCACCACACACAACAGAGAATGATGTTGGTAGCAATTAAAATGGAGGTACAATTTATTTGTATTGCCTACAAGCAACGCTCTACCAAGGCAAATTTCACAAGCTAAAATTCTTTACGCCAAGATAAGATTATGTGAATTTTTTTGAGCTATGAGGAACATACAGCTATCAGTTTATCTAGAAGTAGAATTGAGCTCATGGAGGACACAATACCAAAAATAAAAATCAACATGAAGATATTACTATTTCTCGGTTAAATTTCATATTTTTCAAAGACTGCAAAGCTTTTTTGCCAGATGCATATGTGAGAAATGTGCAAGTAAGTATCCTACTAAAATAGGATACTGAAAAACAGGATACTGAAGTATGTGGAAAAGTATCCTACTACTGCATGCCTTACCTGTAGTAACACTTACTGGATTCTTTATTCTGAGGAGAATAAACATATTTACAGTCTATCATATCACCTTCTTAAATCCTTAACATTAAATCCTCAGTAAACAAGCCATATGATGAGAAATGCAGGATGCACACTTCCCTTCCAACCTGTGAGCAGCAGCTGGACTGCTCCCTTCTAGCTACAGAGCATCTGAATCACTGATTTGGAGGGTTTTGAACCAAGTAAGTTGCCGAGGAGAAAACTCAGTGGCCTGTTCTCATCTCGTTATTTCTGCTTGTCTGGGGCTAGCATTGATTTCCTACTGAAGCGAAGAAGGAACATGTTAAGTTCTTTCTCTGTGTGGCCAGTCTGCCCACGTACATCTTGCAGAGACATAAAGCAGCGCTTTATCCCCCCGTTAGGGGGGCTTTTTCTGGACAGAGAAAATTCACATTGTTCACACAGAATTACACAGTACCTTCCTGATGCAAAAAAGAAAGGTACAGAATAGGAAGGGCTATGACAATACAGCATAGAGAAGCTTGCATTTGTATGTTTATATATTTCATATAGATTTCAGTGCTGCTATGTAATGCTTATTGCTAACATTTCCCACTGGTTTTTAATGCAAATCACTACTACTGGATTTCCATTCGCTTAACTGTCAGGTTTTTTTCCTCAGAGGGAACCAGCATGCCTTAAACCCCTCCGTATTTCTTGACATTTCTACGCTGCTCGTTACACGTAACCTATTCTTTTGTTGTTTGCCTGAGATTTGGGTGTGATTCTCTAGGGTGGAAACTAAAGCCTACAGTACCTTATCAGGAGGTGGGAACTGGAGCTGATTGACATCCAGGGGTGTGATCAGGGGGATGGTGTCAAATCCATCCTCCAAAAGGGGCTGCTTTGTGCTCTTCTCGCTGAAATTATTCCCCAGTTTCACCATTCTTCCAGGATAGAGGGATTTTCTGCTGGCAGACACAGGCACACACGCACAGAAATGCACAATGTCAGAAACTCGGGATGCACCAGACCTTTCCCTAGCCCCCAGGGAACCCGAAATACCTTACAGAAAAAAAAAAAAAAAAAAAATTACGCCTCGGTCGCCGTGACTCGGTTACATTTTGGCGTTTTGGGAAGGAAGAACGATGGGCAGCGCTTTTATTGTCAAAGTTTAAAAAAAAAAATAAAGAAAATAAAAAAACCCCACCACCAACACCCCCAAATCCCCGACACGTTAGCCAGATCCGAGCGGTAACTTCCC